GCACTTAATAGATTTTGTCTTTTTGTTATCTCTCCTACACCCTGTTCTGCCATCCATTTACTCAAGCTCGCAAGGTAGGCTATGCATTGTTTTCCTCTGTCCTTCTTGCCTTCAATCTGTCCTGTTACTATCAAGACTATAATCATTCGTAAAACTAAGAATGTTTTGATATTTACTCATGTTATCTATCTGTGAGATTTCTGATATTTTCAAATGTCTGGAGTAGAAACTGAAAACAACTCAACGACCATATTCGCTCTCAATTTCAGGCGTGAAAAACAAATTCTTCGTTCGTACCGCTGGTTCAGGTTCCGGAATTTTGGCTTGCACCGTGGATGGTCCATCTAAGGTGGCCCTCAGTTGTAAAGAAAACGATGATGGATACGAGTTCTTCTACTCCCCATTCGCTATTGGCAAATATATGATCGTTATAAAATATGGCGGAGTTCCAATCGCAGGCAGTCCATTCTTGTCCGAAGTCACAGGTCAGTCGTTTATTTTTTTTTTTTATTTGTTGACTTGCTCATAATTTTTTGCTGATGATTATTTTTTGTTTTTTCTTGTAATGGATTGCAACATTATGAACGCAAAGGTGAAAAAAAGAGAAAGTGTTTAATAGTTGATGCTGTTTTATTTATTTATTTATTTTGTCTTTTGTTTGGTTCAAATCCTCCTTCTTTTTTGCATATTACTGTTGTTAAGTCTTTGTGAATCCAGTAATGTTTAATTTTGGTGTTTTTGCTTTCACTTTGTGGTTGTTGTTTTGACAGTTGTACTCTATTCATAAAAAAAATATTTATGACGATGTTTGTTATTCAGTTGTAAAAGAATGTGTTGTGCTTAATTTTATTTCTTTGGATGGCAAACACGAATATGAAAACCGCAAAATCATGGTCATATTAATAAGGTGAATAATGAAAGAAATATTTGATTGGACCCTTTCAATTAAAGCGAATGATCAATTCCACGAATTCTTACAAATATGCATATTACATAATATTTAAGACAATAATTTAAGAAATATGTAAAATAATTTTCACATAAGTTAGTTGAATTTGAGGCATTTGTATCCTGCTGTCCACCTGAGACATGAAAAAAACGGAGTTCATCAAACCAGGAGACATTCTTCCGTTTCAATAGATGATCCAATTCTGACGAAAAACGCTTTCAGTCATGTATATTGGTTAGAATGGATAGTCAAACTGACCAGCAGCTATGCAGCGCCATACACAACATTCTCCATTCTTCTTAATTAAAGCTATCTACAACTTAGCTACAGTAGCCAGTCTTTTGGCTCGTACTTGATCGAAAAACCTCTGTTCCCTTCTGGTATCCATAAGTCTTGAGTGCCTAATGCCTTACTAGCGGCTGGTGATATTTCCATTCTTGTGCCACTGCCTATAGGTACTCCTCGCATATTCCAGGGGCCATATTATTTTAGAAATGCTCTGGTCTAGTTTTCTGACCATAACCAGTTAGTCTTGATCAAAGTCGCTGAAATCTTTCTTCTTGTTGATAACTACAGTCTTCAACACCATCTGTCTATATTTCTGAGATGAGATATTGTGACTATTTGCATTGTTCGAGCTGTTATCCTCATCTCTATTGTCATATTCATGACGTTTCGGTCGTTGAACACTCCGGCCTTCTTCAGGTGATATACGTTGAAATTTCGAACCGAATCCTTTATTTCATCCACCGGGATAGATTGTTCTGGTTCCACGTGCCATGCCTCTTCTGGATATCTCAGTTTCAATTATTTCCCTTTAGTAACCCAACACTCCAAGTTTTTGTTCACCTTTACTGTGGCCAGGTGATTATTTCAAACAACGCTTTTATCCACAGGACATGTGATCGTGTGGCCTGGTGGATAAAAGTGTTGGTTGAAGTAATCCAGTGAGTTGACCCAAAGAGTTGTGAGTTCAATACCTGGCCACAGCAAAGGTGAACAAAAACTTAAGTTACTAAAGGGAAATAATTAAACTGAGATATCCAGAAAAAGCATGGCACATGGAACTAGAACAATCTGGTGGACGAAATAAAGGGTTCAGTTCGAAATTCCAACGAATATCACCTGAAAATGTTCGGAGCATAAAATGGCCGAAACGTCGTAAATCTGACAAAATTAAGACAACAGTCCGGACAATGTAAATACTTTAAATAGTCTTCAATACATTAAAACGAATTACTCGAAACAAGATTATATGTCATGTGCGACTGTTACAAGACAGTAAATCTACAGATGTGGCAACGTGTGGAGGTAATGACCTTCTTTTTGAAAGACAGCAACGAGCAGCAATGACCGACTTGGAATATATATATATATATATATATATATATATATATATATATATATATATATATATATATATAAGGAAGAGGTTATAGTAGTTCCAACGAGAGAAAAATGTGTATATTGAAAAGAGAGATACCGCAAACGTTTTTGACTGTAATGTGGATTTTTTTATTAAATATATTATGCTTTATTTTCCATAATTTTACTACACGTGTTTCTGGTCTCGCGACCGTCATTAGGTAAAAGGTGGCGATTTCCACATATTATTAAAAATAATTAATTTCTTTAAAGAAATTCGGATTACTAACACATAAAAAGAGAATATGTCATATCGAGAATAAATATATTTTCACATCGAAAAACATAAAGGAAAAAAAAAATAATTATTTTTAATAATATTTAGAAATCTCCACCCTTTATCTGATGCCGGTCGCGAGACCAGAAATACGTGTAGTAAAATTATGGAAAATAAAGCATAATATTTAAAAAGAAAATCCACATTACAACCAAAAACGTTTGCGGTATCTCTTTCTTATTTTTATATATATATATATATATATATATATATATATATATATATATATATATATATATAAAATAAAATTTTGTCTTATATTGTTCTTTTTGTTTTCAAATTCTTCAACGAATACTTCCTCGAGGGGAAATAATAATTAATTCTGACAGTAGCTCAGAAAATGCTTACAATAAATTTCCAAATTCATTTCTGTGTTGAACATCTCACTCCCGGAAATGTTCAAACTGTTTGCCCTCGTCATTCAAACACTTCTCTTTATATTTATTATCATTATTTATTAATTTATTATTTTATTATTATTTATTATTATTTATTGATTTATTATTATTTATTAAAAAAAGAAATAAATAAAAGTTATAATAAATGTATTATAATAAAAATCATGAAAATAAAAATATTAATAATGATTTTAATGAATTAAATTAATTCTAGGTTTAAATGAATCTTAGAAACATTATTATAATACTGATAATACTTACTATATGCCTACCTTTGCAGTCCCCTGTATATATATATATATATATATATATATATATATATATATATACAACTACATATATATGTTACCTATATCTTTCTATATCTCTCTCTCTCTCTCTCTCTCTCTCTCTCTTACACTCTCTCTCTTTCACTATATATATATATATATATATATATATATATATATATATATATATATATATATATATATTCTCCTGCAGAATTCGGGAAACTGGCAATATCTTCTTCAAAGAAAAAACTATTGAGGGAAAATTGTTTTTCTCTCTCTCTCTCTCTCTCTCTCTCTCTCTCTCTCTCTCTCTCTCTTTCTCTCTCTCTCTCTCTCTCTCTCTCTCTCTATATATATATATATATATATATATAAAGAGAGGGAAAGGCGCATACCACAGTCAAAAGCCTCGTTCTGTCGGCTATTTGCTAGTATAGTGAATTCGATCTTTAATGCGTGCCACACGTGAATGACCTTGCACCTGACTAAGCTAAGCTTAATTAATATCTTTTGTGGCGCCTCTCTGCGCATGAATGGTTTTCAGGAGCTAGTTTAGTAGGTGCCATGACCACTAGAGTGATTTCACTCCTCATCTGATGCACCTCAATTTTTGGCTTCTGTCGAACTAAGCTAAGCTTTGCAAATAGCTCTCTGTAGTTTTGTAAGTTTTTCTATGTGAACTGTTTTTACACAAAGAGCAATTTTGCTTCACACTAACAATAAATGTGTGCTTCTACTTAACAGACGCCTACTTTGACAAAGCCAACAGAGGTCAATGACTATAGAATAAACAAACCTAAAATGGGAAAGAAAAACAAAGCCGTGGTATATTTAAGGATATCACGTTTACCTTTAAGCAGCATGGAGAATTTTATTTTTTATAATTTATCAAACTGTAATTATTTGGTTTGTTTTTTTTCTGTTCTTTTTCTTTCTTTTGTAAAATTTGGTGCTGTAAAATACAATTTTTGCCTCTCAAGTGAGGCCTGCATGACTTGTATCGTCAGTTGGTGTTGTTTACTAACTGTTTAAATGGAAACAACGCCATCAACATCGCCAAAAACCAAAACTTCACTAATGGTAGTCGGAAAATGAAACATTGAAAGAGTTATCAGCTCATTTCAAAATTGTCATCTCTTTATCATCCACTCATTACATCACGATAGCAACAGAGGTAACACTATAAATGAGTGTGTGTACGTTTGTCTATGTACCGTATTTAAAGCCTTATAAGACACACTTTAATGACTAAATTTAGCTCCTAAAGTATACTTTGGTGTTAATACTAAAAGTACATTTTTGGCCATCATTTTCAACATTCGAAAATATAGATAATTAATAAGCTGACTCGTTGAAACTTATGAAACTTAATTTACTTAAATTACGTTTTTACTTTTATCATAAGAATTACCGTACATGCTATACGTCGTAGCATACGATATATATATATATATATATATATATATATATATATATATATATATATATATATATATATATATATAATGTAAATCTATTTAAACTCAGTGGATGAAAAACCTAGATAACACTATTTTCAAATAAACTGGCATCCGAGGAAAAATTGGAAAAAAAGAAAGCACCAAAAACCTTCGAACAAGGCGAAAAAATCGTCCAGTACCTTAAATTTCTGATACAAGGGAAAAAAACAGCGAGTAATAAGTTAAATTGAAGAGTACTCAATACAGTAAGTAGAGCAAAAATAAAATAAATAAAATAATGAGCGAGGGTACTATTTACCTAGGTTTCACCACATGGGGTCATCAGGGTGAACAGGCCTGATGATCCCATGCGGTGAAACCTAGGTAGGTAGTACCTGGCTCACTAGGACTTATTTATTTTATATATATATTTATATATATATATATATATATATATATATATATATATATATATATATATATACCTGTGATTTTGTTTGACTGGTTTTGATTGTTTTCTCTTTTATTTACATTAATATGTTAGAGTACAAACCCTAAAAATAATTAAAATCTATAATGTTTTCGACTTTCTCAATTTTTACCTCTTAATAATAGAAAAGATTATCAGTGACATTATCAATCTAGTCACACAAATCAATGTACCACATACTACATTGCTTTAAATGACTTTAGATTTTTAAATACGTATTCTTTCATCCATTTCA